CTTCCTCCAGGACAGATCTGTTAGTTCTTTTAGCAGTCCATGGTATTTTCAGCATTCTTTACCAGCACCACAACTCAAAAGCATCAACTCTTCTTTGGTCTTATTCATTGTCCAGCTCTCACATGCACACAAGGCAATTGGAAATATCATGGCTTGTGTCAGGTGCACCTTGGTCCCCAAAGAGACATCCTTGCTCCTCAGCACTTGAAACAGTTCCTTCACGGTTGACTTCCCCAATGCTACATGTCATCTAATGTCCTGACTGCTGCTTCGATTGGCATCAATTGTAGAACCAAGCAATGTGAATTCTTTGACAACCTCAAACTTCTCTCCATTTATTGTGATGCTGCTCATTGGTGCAGTTGTGAGGATTTTTGTTTTCTTTATATTGAGAAGTAATGCATACTGCAGATTGTATTCTTCAACCTTCATCAGTAAGTGCCTCAAGTCATCCTCACGTTCAGCAAGCAAAGTCATATCGACTTCGTATCTCAGGTTGTTAATGATTCTTCCTCCAATCCTGATTCCACGTTTTTCTTCATATAGTCCAGCTTCTTGGATTATTTGTTCAGCATATAGATTGAATAAGTGTGGGGAAAGGATACATCTCTGACACACTCCCTTCTTGATTGTAAACCATGTAGTGTCCCCTTGTTCTGTTCAAACAACAGCCTCATGAGTACAATCAAGTGTTTGGGAATTCCCATTCTTCTCAATGTTATCCATAATTTGTCATGATCCACACAATCAAATGCCTTTGCATAGTCAATAAAACACAAGTAAACATCTTTCTGGTATTCTTTGCCTTGAGCCAAGATCCATCTGACAACAGCTATGATATCCCTTGTTCCACGTCCTCTTCTGAAGCTAGCTTGCACCTCTGGAAGTTCTCTGTTAATATACTGCTGCAAACGTTTTTGAATTATCTTCAATAAGATCTTACTTGTGTGCAATATTAATGATATTGTTCTATAATTTCCACAATCTGTGGAATCACCTTTCTTTGGAATGGGTACAAATATGGATCTCTTCTAGTCAGTTGGCCAGCTAACTGTCTTCTGAATCTCTTGGCATAACTGAGTGAGTGCCTCCAATGGGGCATGTAGGAGCTGCCATTTGTGTTGCTGAAAAAAGGTGTTTGCAAGGAACAAGTCGTTGGTCTTGCAAACTTCTACCATGCGAGTTCCAGCATTATATCTGTCACCAAGGCCGAATTTTCCAACTACCAGTGATTCTTCTTTGTTTCCAAGTTTGGCATTCCAGTCACCAGTGATGATTAACACATCCTGATTGCATGTTTGGTCAATTTC